CCAAGGTGGGCATCGGCTGGCAGAGCTGCGAGAACGAGAAGCAGGGCATGCTGGTGATGTCGTGGGAGGGGCGAGTGGGGGCCCCGGGCGTGGAGCCCAGTGAGTTCCAGCTGTACGTGACGGCCCTGTGTGCACTGTGGGCCGACGCTGGGATACAGGAGGCCTACGCACGACGGGCCGAGTTCCAACTGGTGAGTGTTTTGTTTTTTTAAGCAGCGCCCCCTACAGTTTGACTGTCACACGCTCACACGTCTTGTACACATTAGCAGTTCACACCAATACACACAGAGATAAAGGTATCTCTGATGTGCTGGTACAGTACAGTACAGTACAGTACAGTACTGATGGTCTCGTCCAAAGTATTTGTTTTTTTCTCTCGGTCCAAAAAAACCTGTAGATTTAGATCAACTTAGATCGACCACAGGTTGATTAGTTCGTCCGTCTCTACACACGGCCCTGTTGTTGACTGGTGAACTGTCGACAGTGTACCTCCCTCCTGTCCCCCCCCCCCTGCCCCCCAACATTATTACCTCAGTACAAGACTTATTACTTCAAGCCCAAACACCAGCGTTAGCATCAGTCCTGATAGTCCTGGTACAGTGGACCAGTGTAGTCAGCAGTAGAACAGACGACATTCTTCTTCACGTCACGTCATGTCACATCACTGTGTGTTTTTTCTACCTTTCAAACCTCCTACAATCCTTCCCAGGGGTCGCGACCTCCAACAACAGGTCATTTCCTTTAATCCTCTCATAACGTCCGTTTGAAGAGTCATGTTTACGCAGAGATTACTCAACGTCTGACATGTTGCCGACATGTTAATCGAGCTTTAACTCATTAAACCGGCGTCAACAAACGTGTAATTAAACGAGTGGACGGTCACACTCCAGTCTGCGTCTCAAACCATAAACAGTTCCACATCACACGGGTGACGTCAGCAGACGCCATCTTCCTGGTAACTGATTAACCACAGAGCAGTAATCTGAGGAATGCCCTAAGCCTCGGATGAAGGGGCGCGATAACATGAGAAATGTTCAACACGTCAACTCCGTGAAGGAGCGCGGCGTTAAGTGAAGCCTCGGGAAGTCTTTCTTGTTCTGCTCCGTAACTTCCCTCCTTCCTTTCACTGTCTGGCAACTTTCCAAAGGTGTAATGACTTTTCTCTTGACTGTAATGGCAGCCGGTGGAGCGCAGCCCTGCAGAGGTTCATCCTCCACGCTACGCTGCTCCAAACATCATCTGAACGGCCTCGTACATTAACGTCTGAGTGTTTATCCTCCAGGCCTAATATTATAAACAAGCACTGATCAACAGCAGTGGTTCGTTCCAATAAAGTCCAGCTCAGTTTTTGTGTGTCCTCTAAACTGAGACATATATTTACCATTTAAAAACTCCAGTGAAGGCAGTTCAACATCTCGCTGCCGTCTGTCCTCTTCACAGACGGTGTCTGTTGTTTTCACAGCTACATCTAATGGGCCGCTGGCCTCAGATTAAATTAATAACAGCAGAACACTGGAGAACCATTTGCTCCGACAAGTGTCCACAAATGTGCAGTGACAGGTTGTTAATGACACTTGATGGAATAATCACTTAACCACATTGTCGACGGAGGCGATGCCTCACAGGAACGCCGCCACCAGCTGCTGCGCCCGTCACCGCGCGCTCCACGTCTCGCAGACAGACTTTATTTGTTACCCTCTGCTCGGAGCTGTGAATTTAACCTTCGACTTGTTACATATTTATCAGCGCCAAAATGTTCTGGAGTTTAGACGGAAGCTGCCGGCGCCTGAGTTTCACTTCGCTGAAAGTATGTGTGTGTGTTTTTGTTTTGAGTGTGTGAGTCAGAGGGAAGGATGTCGATGCACAGCCCAGGGTCAGACTGCCATGTCTTATCTGTGGCTGCTCTGTGATAAAACCAGCAGCAGCAGCAGCAGCACAGACTTGTACACAGTGTCCAAAAGGACGAGGCTGCTGAAACAAATCTTTTAAGCCAAGACTTTAAATCAAGAATTAAATTAACAACTGGATCTACACCTCATCAACTCATTGCCCCAAAAAATATGTTGCATCCTAATAACAAGAAGAACATTTAGCAAATACAAACACTATTTTATGATGGACGATATTCATCGTCATAAAACAGACGACCGACCTCTGACCTACTGACCATGTCCAGAAAATCAGGTTGTTGTCGTCTGTGATTCTTGTCAAATACAAGGTACAATGTTTTGTGGACCAGGGTCAGAGGTCACAGCACAAATACACATCTCTTGGCGACACCTCTGTCATTCGGAGTTGAACACAGAGCCTGTTCTGTGTCACGTCACGTCTTCAGTGACCGACCAGGTCACTTGATTCACATCAGGTTGTACGACCGTCGTAGATCTGTTGTCTTTGAGGTATTTTACTGCTCGGTGCTGGAACAGGTTCCACAGTCGACCTCAGTGTCTCCTGACTTCAGGTGAATCATTACGACTCATTTATTACTCATTTATTACTTTCTACTCGAGGACGACTGACGTGTTCTACTGTAGGTTCTACTCTGTGATCCCGACCTACATCAGAGGACGACTGACGTGTTCTACTGTAGGTTTGGAGCCAAACTCAGACCCTGGACCCAGGGGTTGAGTCACTCCTATCAAAATATCAAAATCAGACTTCAACTGGAAAGAGCAGAAACAACATTTACCAAAAACCCTGAAGAACAAAGACGTTCAGATTCATACAGAGCTCCAGAGTTGATCACATTAACTCTCACTGACACAGAACAGGCGAAACAATAACAAGGAACAAAAACAGGACAGCGTTAGCCGTAGATTTACTGCGTTCCAGAATAAACAGTGAAGTCTGCGTTAAATAATGTTACAAACACAAAGACAGATTATGGCTAATCATGTTTGGTTAGTTAGCATCATCGCTAACTAGCAGATTGCTCTCTGTAGCATGAGTCTGTGTGTGTTGTTGTGTATTAGCATGAGCTGCTGTCACTGTGTCCAGGTCAAAGTCTGAGGATGAGTTCAGGTCAAAGGTCGTCATCTTTTCATGCACCACAGTTTATATCCCAGTCTAGTTGATGTGAACCTCAGCTGGACGTGGCCCAGATTTGAGATCTTGCTGTGGTTAAAGAAGTCAAAAAGCGACAGTGTTTTCTCTTGACTGCAGTGTGAACGGCCTCGACTTTATTAGGGGAAAATTCAGGACAGACATTTTACATTATTTTTCCACAATCCTATTTATTTTTGAACAGCTAAAGCATGACCCTGAGATGGAATCAACACAATTACGAGAATTACAGCTAAAATAATAGTTCAATTCTCCTGTGGCTCAGTGGCTCAGAATAACCCATGAAAAAAAACAAAAGCGTTCTTCCTGTTTGCTGAAAGCTACAGGATCTACCAGATTTAGGGAAATTGCTTGAATGTTTTCAAAACTACTAAAAAAAACCAGTGAATTATAGGAGGACGAGAACTGTCGGGAAGTCGAGACCCGTTGATGATTTCTACGTAAGAAGGTTATTCCTTCAAATAATAATAATAATAATAATAATAATAATAATAATAATAACAACATAAAAACGCACTTAAAAGCACCACCACCTTCTTCCACAGCTGCTAACACATGCTGCTTTCACTTCTCTCTTTCCACTCTGAGAGGTTTTCCGGGGATACCACAGTCAGCTTTTCCCAGGCACGGCTGGAGACGGGCCACAGGGGAAGGAGGGGGGAGTCAGGAGGGGGGAGAGTGGAGTCGGTCTGATTAGAGTAAGAAAGAAGGAGAGTGGAAAGTTATAGAGGAGCGGGGGGGGGGGGGAGGGGGAGAGAGTCGAGAATGTAAAGGACTTCTCCTCCAGGAATGTTTTAATAAATCAATTTAAACATGGAGCCAAAGAGAAGAACAAACAGCACGGCCCTGACAGGAGGCGGGCTTTTTGTTTGTTTGTTTTTTTACCAGATGAAGTATTTGACAAACTCTCAGCTGAACACACGTGGGGATTACTGGCTGAGTCGGCCCAGTTCCCACCACACCCAGAAGATAAAAAGACAAACAACTCAGAAACACACGGAACAACAGGCTGAGGATCGTACGCTGACGGTGGAGCAGGAGTCTGTAGTGTGTGGGAGGAACTGGGACGCCTGGGGGAGGCCATGGGGGGGGGCACAGCTTTGCTACTGTGTTTGTATTTGGAAATGACATTTTCAGATTGAAAATAATGTCGTTGTCCCTGTTTTTCCAGTCCAAACAGCCGTGAACTGGCGTCGGTCGTCAACACGACCTGAACTAAGTAAGAAAAACTGCAGCGATCTTTACGTAGATGTTCAGGACAAAACAAGAGTTTAGAGACTGAAATATTAGTCATTGTGACACAGCACACCCAAACAATCTGTTATTTATTTACACAACAGCGGTGGTGTAAGAAAAAATATCAACAAACAATCACATTGTTGAAACAATTAAATTCATTAATTTCTGGTTCGTTCACTGTCACCTCGTCTACTCTGGTCTCCACCTTCAGGAAGTCTGAAGTACTGCACTGGACCAATCATTTCTAGTCAAACCCTAAAAACACCGTCAGTACGACTACACCCAGTCCAGAACACTGGTGACTCACACACCTGTGACAACACACACACACACAGAGAATTTGATCTCTTTCTGTAATAAATCCTTTTAATCTCCCTTTATTTACAGCCCTGAACACAGACACATTCCACCGTTTCATTCAACACCCACACTCTTCATCACACTCTTCATCACAGCTGTATTTTACACTTTTATAACCAGTGGATCTACAGTACAAGCCACTCAACGTGCGTTAATAAAACTGAACAAAACTCGTTTATTTTCTAATGTCGTTGGATGTTCCAACGTTGGATGTTCCAGAGTTGGATGTTGCCGCGGCCTGAATGTTGAGGCAGTTTGATTTCTGCTGATGGCAGATCAAATCTCTGTGAAATTACCCGTCTGTGTGTGTGTGTGTGTGTGTGGGAAGTCCCTTCTCTCTGCTCTACACAGTCCCCCCGGCTGTTCATGGTTTGCTCAGCCAATCAGAGTCAGTGTCTGCCTTTGTTTCCTACTGCTTTAACATTGTGGGTCAGTGGAAGGGTCACAAGGTCGCGTCTCACCCACACAGAGGTCACGTTTCCTGGTTGTCAGTGTTAGCAGTGACAGCTCCATCAGTTCAGTTTCAACTGTCGCTCTGACAAAAGGTGAAATTCTAAAAACATATTCTTTAAAAAAAATTTTAAAAAAAACTGAAAAAGGAAAGCAGATTTGTTTTAGCGGAGGTTCAGTCTGTGTTTGTACTGACACGACAGACTGACCACGGTCTGTCTCACTCACTAATCTCTCCCTCCCCCAA